CTACAACACGGCAACAACCCAAATGTAGACTAATTTTCTTTGACGTCTGCAATTTGTAAACTACTATAAACATTTACTAAAATGAGATTGGTTTGGTATTTAGAACAAACCGATCAAATATCACCTTTTCAAAGTGGTTTCAAGAAAACTAGACCAACGACTGAACATCTTATAGTTTATCTATAGTGATTATTTATTAATAATCAACATCTAACGTTTATTATCCTAGATATTGAAAAAGCAATGGTAGGAAGAGAGGAGATAATTAAAATTCTTCATAAAAAGGTATTGACAGTCAGATCCTAACCTTCATAACTAATTTTCTTGAAGATAGAATACAAGTAAAATGTAACAATACCATTCAAATAAATACAAATTATGTAATGGTCTTCCTCAAGCCAATGCGGTCGCGCGACGGCTATATTGGTCCAGCACTAACCAGTTCTGCTGTGCTAAAGAGTACGACGAAGTTATTAAATTTATTTCCCATAAATTTATTTTCTATGGTGTACTACGATCTACTTCATTCGGTTTAATCTCTGAAGAAGCTTTTTCCAATTTAGTGGAAGAATATTCTGTGTCAGTTTGTTAAGCACTTGACTTCGAACCCTTACGTATTTGGAACGTGTGTTACCGAAAATTTGTTTGAAAGCTTTTGCTTTTATTTTCTTGACAACCACTTTCTTTGGTTTCTGATTTTCTGCAAAATATTAAATAATTTAACTTAATCTGCACAGTAAGACTGAAAAAGATAATGTTCACCAAACAAAAATTAGGCAACATTAAATAAAAATCATTGTTTTTTCTGAACAGTAGTGTATGTGAACAATATTGTTACATAATTTACTTATTTAAATGATTGAGTTTTGTAAATATGTACGTGTGTGTTAATATATATTGTGCGTGGCCATAAATGTAAATCCAACCCATCTTTTGGTACGAGTGATAAGACATATGAGTCAATAGGCGTTAGCGAATCTAGGATCTTTGTTAGGTTTACAGAAAGTAATTGAAAGATTGCTACTTTTCATGTTGTTGGAAAGTATTAGAAGGTCATTTTTTAAGTAAGATCAGTTTTTAAGCGGAGTAACAGCAACTTTATTTATGAAGATAAATTGCATCTAAAATTGAAGTAGAAACATATTTTCACCAAGAATATCTAAGCACGTGTTAAGTCGTGTCACTAGCTTTTGGATTCCCTCCTCACAGAACTCTACCGCCTGAGAATTTAACCAATTAATAACAGTTTCTAATCACGTAATTATTTTAAAATTGCTTTCCACCAAGTTATTGTTCGCGTTTAGGAAAAATATGAAAGTCTGATAGTACCAGGTCAGAGCTGTAGGGCGGATGGTCCAGTAATTCCCATTGTCACTGCTGTAGTGAGAGGCCGAGCGGTATCGTGAAGCAGCACGACGCCGCTAGACCAAGTCCCCGCCCGCGGTTTTGAATAGCGCGCCTAAGATTGGTTAGTGCTCCCCAATATCTCTCAGCAGTTCTGGTCATTCCTCTTGGCACAAAGTAAATCAGAAGACCGCGTTCCCCATCCCACAAGATCGTGGCCATGATTTTCCATGTTGGAGGTTCTTGTTCGAATTTTTGTGGTTTCGTCGGTGAATTTGAGTGATGACCTTCACTGAATTGATGTTCAGTTTCTGGAGAGTAGTATGTGCCAAACGCCAAACTCTCTGTCAACATTTTTGTCACCCATCTGGCACGCATTTCTTTATAATGAAGTTTGTCGGATTCAATGTGATAAACAACCTATCTTGAAAGTTGTGGAAATTTCTCACGAAGCTCGTCAGTCGTAAAGCGCCAGTTTTTGCGAATTTCCTCATCAACTTTCTTCTCAAGTTTGCATCAATGACAGTTGATCGCCCAGATCGTTGATCATGAACATTTTTTCTTCTTTTATTGAAAAGCCTACACAATTCACACATTACTGTCTATCATTCATTACACCTTCACCATAAACTTTAACAAGCTTCCGGTGAATTTAGGCGGGACGATTTTTGCGTTTAAAATCCAAATAACCGAGCGCACTTCACAATCGGCAGGTTTATTGATTAACCTGGCGACAAAACAAAGCAGTGTTACGATAGAACCAACAGTGGCAGAGACATGAAATCAACTGACTGCGTAGTTGGGGTACTGGGCAAAAGTGGTTGACCTTGAGTGGGCGTCAGGTGACAGACTGCGCAGTTGCTAGGCACAAACGGTTCGTACTTCAAAAATGATCTTCGTAGTTATGTCACAGTGAGGCGTTAAAACAGCTGTTAATGCTGATACAGATTGTTCATTTAATATTTTAACTCAAGAATTGTAATTCCTTCACTTCCTGAGGATTTTTTTAAATATAAGGAATTTGAATACAGGTGCTGTCTCTTGAAGAGAATATATCTTCTTGTCGTCTATGATATCGCTGTTTGAGATTACGTGTGTAGTGCGATGGTGCTACCATGCACTTGCTGGCTGAATGGTAATGAACAAGAGTTATACAATGAAAACGAAGTTTAGCTAATGTAACCTGTGCAGGTCGTTATCTCAAGTGCAGTAAAGCAGTGCTATTGCTATCAAATTTACAACAATAACTTACTTCGGTCATAAAATGCTGTATTAAATACAATAAAGTCACTATCACGACATATTATGATATTAGTACAATATCGCGACATAAAAAGTTCTTAATATTCTGATGACGGGTGAGTTTTGAAATCATTCCGATATCACGGTAACATATTGTTAAGTTATCTACTATGAGTTAACAAAAACGGCATTAATTTTTAAAAATATTTTTGCAGACATGTGTATTTCTTACTTAAATTTGAATACTTCGAACTTCTTCAATTTCCCATATATTTAAATTAAATAATTAACAATTTTATTACACACAAACTCACATTATGTATAATGCATAAATTCAACAGATTGTTATTTTGTTGCCTTGCTTCTTGGCATTTCACATTTACCTGGAAAGTAGCATGCTCCGATGTAGCTGAGAAGGACCATGCCGGCGTGGTGGTAGACGTGCAGGAACGATATCTGTCGATCTCTCTTTCGCATGACGTAGAACACAGTGTCCAGAAGATCCACAAGTTTAACCACATAATATAAGTAGACGCCCCATGCTATCTGCAACGCAATTCATCGTGGCATTTAGATCTGAAGAATTCTTGAGGAACAAGTATTTTAAAAAGAGAAAGGGGATTTCTTGTGGTCTTCTAATTCATTCATTAGTTAATTTGTAAAACTAATTTCTAATGATGAATGATCTATTTTCAACTATACACTACATTAGTAAATATGTTATCTATATTTACCAAAATATGACTAATTGCTAATACTAATTCTGCCTTGGGATATTTACCAAAATAATTTGTGAATTTTAAAATGAAATAATATTCTTGTTAATAAATATATCATATTATCAGAGGAGTGGGTTTCGAATTTTCGATTCACTAAAATTGAGGTGAAATTAGAAACTTGGGAAAGGAATTTAAGAAAATGTTTTCATAAAGCAGGAAACACCATAAATGTTTTCTGCATTTGAGAATCAGATGCCGATAAATGGATGCCCAGACACTTTAAGAAAGTGATCAAGGTTCTTAAACATCCTTCCTCCCCACAGCTGTTTTGCTCTGTTACACTTTTGCTTAAAAATGAAACAGTTTAGAGGGCGATTTACAAATTTCTTATACAGGTGTCACATTTAACTTGGCACCTTGAAATAACTCTAATAGTAGGCGATGTACGAAAAATTGAGTCGAGATCAAATCTTAACAGTTTTGAAGGGGGAATCATTCTATGCTAAAATCAGCACCCCCCTGCCCCCAGCGAGTGGGGCGGTGGCCAACATTCAAATCTTAAATAGGAACCCCTATTTTTATTTCAGTTTCAGATTTTACGGAGAAAAATACATAACTTTTGTCTGAACGTTTTTTTTCTGAGATGCCATAGGTGGAGATGTAATCACAAAAATTTAATTTCTGAAGATTTCCGACTCTATTGAGTGGTTTTGATTGTGGCCTCAGGGCACACCCGACAATTTGTTGGTAGCGTCTCTCCAGGGTCCGTGCCTACAGTACTTCAGAGGCGATCCAATATTTAATAAACATTTACCTTTCTGAACTAACATTCC